GAGAACGGTACGATGGCTCTACATTTGACTCATATATTTATTGTGAAAACAAAATTTTTGCCTCATAACTTATTATATACGATTTTCTTTTCTTCGCTTAAAAGAACTTCTCTGTTTATATGTAGCAAATAACTTTCATTGAATTAAAGGACCAGAAAATGAGTGAGCATGTTCTCCAACTTTTTGCCGTCCATTCTTCCATATGATTCTGCAGCAAAATAACTCATACATATTTGAAAAAAACAGTCAAAAAGAAAGAAAAAAATCGTTTCTACGGAGATGCATAACGAGAAGGAAGCATGTCCATGTTTTTTTCTTTCTCTTCTGTTCGTACTCGTAACTTATTCATATAAAGTGTGGCAACATATTATAACGATGCAAATCAATAAATAAACGCAACCTTAATATTGCCAATACAGCGAAAAACTATTCTTTGTAACTGAAGGATATCCATATAAGAAGACTTATACTCCAATAATCTCCTTACTGAATCAAAATGATCTATGGTTTTGTGTTACATTAAATAAAGGGGTATGAATCATTGACTTACTCATTTGCTTTTAGAACATTTAAGAAAGTAGCACTATGCACAGATGTGACACGTAATTGCTTGAATACACTAAATTGCAGTTTACAGCTAATAAAAATGAAATTGTTTTGTATAAATACTGTCAAGTAGATGTGAAGCAATGATTTACTATTATCTTACCATAAAGAATCAATAAGTATATTTTAGGTATTCTAATGTCTCGAAGTGAAAATCCATCAAACATCTAGGTTCTTAACTCGGAGATTTGGCTAGTATAATTTATTATGGGACATTCCCATTATATGTTTACAGGTACAGCTGCGGAGGGTATACTTGTTCAAGAGCATGCATTAACAATGCGAAGATCGTTACAGACGGTGAGGAGCTGATGTAAACAAAGGAAAGGATATCTGTGCGAATTGTTCACCAGAACTCAGACTACATGATGGTCGACTATTGTCTGTTAACAGAACGACCATTCTAAATGTAACAAACTTACTCTTTTTTTCTGTTCGTGACGTTTTCTTCAAAGGCAAAAGAACTTGAGAGCTTGCTTCTACTACAGAATTGTACAAGACACTTAGCTCTATCAACGTTGAAAAAGAATGGATTTCGTTGGAACGCTACGCCAGGCGAAACGAAATGCCTAGTATAACGGATTTAGAAAAAACAGAAGTGAACTTTGAAGTATCCGAGAAAAGTGAAAAGTTCAGCGATTGTTTACACTCATGATGGGATTACAATAGCCGATTTTGTAGCTCGGACTTCGAACTTCCCTATAGTGAAAACCGAAGGAAAAACTACCGCTTGGTCATCTAGAAATCCTCAAAGCAAAAAACGTAACGGACTCACATGTTCACTGCACTTTTTTGGCTAAACTGCATCACCTTCGAATTTCAATAAAAACAGCCAAAACCTTTTCTTAATGAGGCATAACTGTAGCCCGCACACTTCTGATTAAAATGAGACGTCTCCCAGCTCTACACGACTTTCTTTGCAAAGTTATAGAATTTACAAGAAAAGCCCTAAATTAATTTCTTATTTCTGTAGCTTTGAGCTGACAATGAATGTTTAGGGCTTCTCTTGTAAATTCTATAGCTTTGCAAAGAAAGGTTGTGTAGAGCTGGGAGAGGTCTCATTTCAATCAGAAATGTGCGGGCTACAATTATGAATCATTAAGAAAAGGTTTTGACTATTTTTCAGAGTTTCTGAAAAACTGGCTTTCCAGAAAACTGGTTCTTCAAGAGCCATGGGGGAAAATCCTCTTAAGGTATTTACTACCTCACTGAGGTCTATCGATCCATGTACAAAGCATGGAGCTTTGTAACTCAACGAAAGCTTTCGACTTTGCTTACTCGGGTGGACTCTTACGTGGAATGGCCGAAGCTCTGCTGCGTCTTTTTAGTAAATTTTAATAAAGCTTTGATTTTCTCATTCAATCGCCAAGGATTAATGGTACCCTTCCCCACTCTTTTTTAATCCTCTTGGGAACCGAGGAAGCCGATGTCGGATCGCGGTGAAGTATTGGTGAAAAATTTACTAATCTAAAAAATTGAGATTTTCTAAGCTTTAAAGGAAAAACTTAAAAACTTCGTAGTTTAAGTGCGTGCCCTTAAGTGCATAATATCATTAAAGAAAAAGTTTAAGCAAGACCGCCTTAGGTTTGGCATATGTTTTTCCTGGAGCCCAGGAGTGCTATCATATGACTGTGGAAAGTTCAGAAGCAACTAAAACATAGGTATTCGACCATACTGAGTCGCGTAGCAATTTCGATTTCTGCACTGTAAAAAAATACGTATAGGTAGATGCATATCTCCAACATGTGATCACTCGTGGCTAAAAAGTGTGGAAATTCTGAAGTATGAGGGGTTAGGTGTTCTCGTTCCTCTTTCATGTGTGCCCAATTTTAAGTGGTAGGTTCTAAGTATGCAAATTTTTTTATGTGTGCGGAAAATGGAAGGCATGTACCTGATGTACACCCCAAAAACACAAGCTTCGGATGCAGACGATAAGTAGAATAATACTCTACTTTAGAAAGTAATCTCTTTGCTCATTAATTTAACCATAACACGATTAAAATGCTTAAAGACATCTGTCGCTGTTCTGCCTTATTTAGTGAACTTAAGAACTTGGAGCAACTCCTTTTTTTAATCTTTCGATTTCTTTCTTTCTCATTCTTCGAACTTATTTATTTCATTTTCAAGCCGTTACTTGATCATGATTTATGCAGTCTTGTGCAGTATGGAGACTGGCAAATTTGCTAGGAAAGGGCGATATTTACTGGTCCCGGCAACTTCAGTGTGTCTCTGCGTCAAGTTTCTAATCAGTCTTACATAAATAATTAACGTAAGACTCTAATGAGACTAATAATTAATGTGCCTAAGTAGTTCATGGGTGACTATATTCGTCTTGTAAGCAAACAAACTGAGTTCAACTCTTGATAGGAATAGAATTTTTATTTTAAAACGTCTTTTTCAGAAGACACATCAATAGAGTCGCTCAGGTACGACTAAACAGGATCCGACACACGTGTGTTCAATGTTACTAACTCCATCCTTCATAATAGAAGACCACTGCCGTTTATATGACTAGAAAAACAGTAGAAGACCATGATCTAGTAACCCCTTCTCCAGAACAGAAGACCACCGGTCTTTTATTATGTCCTCAAAAAGAAATCGAAAACTCCCTAAGCCTACTTAGCTATAGGGCAATTTTGAAACAAATTTCGCGAAAATGTTGTTCTAATAGGTGAGGAATCTCAAGTATGTGGGGAATTACCGCTGGACTACTATCAGGTGGCAAAATTTGATCGCAGTAGAAGACCATCCTTTAGAATTCGACTTGCTAGACGAAATAGAAGATTAGGTGGTCTTCTATTATAAGGGCGGGCGGTTATACCACAGACGTTATAAAGTGACTAACAGGTCGCATCATGTGTTTTGATAAGAGACAGTAAAATATGACTTTTTGGGATCCGATTTACTTGTCTGTATAAGTCACGTTTTTCTTTACAGTATATTGTACACGCATGAACCCTACATGTTTGTTCACGTATTAATAAATATTTTCAAGTATGATCATTAGTGAAATTATTGTGGTTGCACGTTTGGTGTTGTAAGAGCATGACCTTGACGTCGGCAAAGGATGGAAAACACTCTCTATACGAAAATGACTCAATATGATATTGGGCGTAAATCTTCTAGAATTGTCAGACATGCTTCACATTTCAATTCAGAACGCGTTTAATCTTCCAAAACTTCTACTGGAAAATTGCAGAGAGAAATCTCTCACAATTATTTATTACTATCCTACCAATAGCATTCAACCGGTATTTCAAGCTTTTCGCCAGATTTCTGACTTTCAACAAGAACTTCAATACAGAAAGATAAAGAATTTTCCGCGCTTCAGGACAAGTTAAACAAACTTTTCAAAAATATAGAAAAGAAATATAAAAAATTCGAGAAAAAATCTCGAAATATAGGCACATTTTAGAATTCTCTGAAAAGTCGATTTTCTATATGAAACGTTTCTCAGCTTTAAAGAAGGCGAGAAACCGAGCAATTCTTTGAGATTCAGCAAAATATATATAGGTTTCTGTTCTGCGCATGTAGCCACTCTCTCTCTCTCTCGAAACACGTGTTGATCTATACTCGTTCCGTTCTCTCGATACTGTACCATCTCTATCACACAAGTCTCTAATCTTTAACATCCACTCTGTCTTCTGGCTATCACAGAGTATACAGGTTTTGGTTAGTACGGCGGTGGACGACCGCGTCTGAAGCTCAATGTTATAAGCTGTATGGGCTGAACAAGAGGGTTAGAATACACTATAGCAGTGCACAGGATGAAGAATCGAACACGTCAAATTTACCTTTGGATAATGTAGGCCAAAAGTAAAACTGATGCTTTAAACTTCATAGTTTTAGTTTTCAATTCCAACCACTGTATAATGTTCTTCTGTACTTTGCTTTCCTTATGCCCCAATCTCTCTCTTGAGCAACAAAGGCGGGAAACACTTTCTAAAAAAATTTCTTGAAACTTAGTTGTAGAAAATGGTACTAGTGATAGGCGATACGTTTCTGACAGGAAAAAGTCAATTGTATCGAGTTGAGAATTTCTGACTAAGATTCCCACATTCTTGAAAACACGAAAATCAAAGCCTAGGTTCAACATTTCGAGAATGGCTTTAGATGGGCATATTTTTGAGAAGTGTATTTGGCTCGTTTCAAAGCTCAGAAAATTCTCTATCTTCCAATACGAGGAACTTGTTAAGAAGTCAGAAGCGAAAAGTTTGGAATACAAAATGAATATCGTTGGTTAGGATAGAAATGAATAATTATAAGAGGTTTATCTCTGCAGTTTTTCAGAAGAAGTAAGAGCTATTCATTATAGTATAACAGTAATTGTTTGTAGCCGTACGATATTCCTCATCTGCCGGAGTTCTCTGTATTCCTAATCATCAACGTTAATCATGGGGCAAACTTTATCCGCGACTAATTCGCAATTTACTGATTTACTTACATTAGCACAATCAAATTATGCAGATTCAGATGTATTTGCGACAGCCGATTCAGATATTAATTTCTTTCTACCATTGAAAACTGATGGAAACAGAGATAAAGATGCGGAAGGGAAAGAATTGAATGAAGCAACGATCATTACAACGACATTAATTAAACAAATACGTACACATTTATTTACATTAACTAATCTGCAACAGTTCAATGCATTGAATACACAAATTACAACTGATATTCAACAAATTGTTGATGGGATCAATAGTACAAATACTACCACTAATACAACAATTACAACCATTCTAGAAAAACAGAAACAATTGCAATCGGCATATGCTCTTAAACTAGCAAATGATAAATCAGAAATAAATCTTGCAAATACTTCAATATTTTCACATCCATTTATAGATAGTACAATATATTCAGGTACAAAAATTGAGATTGAAACAGCAAAACAAAATGCTTTTCAACGTTTTCAAACTCAACAATTATCATATTTTGCATTACAGTCATTATTATCAGTACTACTCGTATTAATTAAATCTGTACACAACACCGATTCTACTATTATCTATCAAATACTAACAATGACCAAACAATTTATAGAACAAATACCTGCCAAATATTTAGCTTCAGAAAATTTTAAACAATCAAGTCTATTTACATCGTTAAAACCTCTATCTAATTATATAGAAGAATTGTCGATACAAACAGTCGATTTAACTGCAAAGAAACAAGCTATTGAAATTTTATTGCGTTTTGCTGTAGCCAAAGCATCATTCACCGAATTATTACATCTAATAGCAAGATTAGTATTCAATACAGATAACATAAATATTTATGATGTTCGCGGTTTAATTTTACAATTAAATGAAGATTTATCATCAGCTACTAATAAAAGTCAAGACGATGGATTAAATGCCGTTGATTTATCTGAGCAAGCAGCAATATTGAGCAATATGACAACCATAAAAACTAAAGAAACACAAACAAATAGAGAGCCAATAACTATTGCTTGTTTTCTTACAAATCCATTAGAATATCTTCAAATAATAAATGTACTACCAAACACAAGTTTAATGACATTAGATGAGAGTCAATTTTCTCCAATATTTTTAGCATCCGTACTGTTAGCACATATCGATTTCCACCATGAAATGAATTCAAAATATGCATTTGAAACGAATTCATTAAATAATTCATTTTCTTTTACATTACATTCAGATACATTTAAACAATTATTTGATATTATACAGAGTTTAAGTATTACTCAACTATCACATCATACAGCATACATACTAGTTGTTTGTTTACGATTATTTACTACACACTTGAAATTTTTAATTAAATCAGCTCTAGATACTACTGAATTTGTTTCAAATAAAGAATTACATCAATGGAAAGAATTTATGTTTCGATTGAGTACAGAAAATGAAATTCGGACAATTGATGATAATCAGTCACTATATAAAGAAATTCGCACAATTGTATGTACAGAAGCGTCTAAAGCATTTATTTATTTATTAGAAAAACCGACACCATTGATAGATAAATTTCAAATAATTTATAAATGTATCGTTGATAATAAATATCCCATTTTAATTCAACAATTATTAACTGATTTACATGATAATGTAATCTTAAAAAAATATATCGAATTATTAACTTATGATAAAGTAGAAAAAGAAAGTACTAATGAAGATAAATCAACGTTTATACAAACTCAACAAAATGCATTAACATTGTTATATTCATATATGGATATTTGTTTAGAATCAAACTATATTCAACAACAAAAACAGATTAAAGATGATACAATAACATTGGAACATGTATTTCTATTGTTTCAAGAATTATTATTAATTACATTGGATAATGAATTATCCACAATTACTGATGATGTTAATGATTTAAATGATAGTTATCCACTTCCTGTTACCACACTCGCTATATGTTATATTAAACGACTATTAACTGCTAGTACAGGTACATCAATTGTTAGTGATTTATTGCCGCCTATGCTATCAGGTCTATGTATTTTAACACAGACAAGATTTAATTTTACAGCTATTCAACCAATATTTATAGAAATTATACCATTATTAGTAGAATATTTATTATGTAGTACGACTATGGATACAAATACACATTCAACCACTTGGTTATTAGGTAAAATTAGTTATATTATGTTAAATAGTACAAAATTACATCCATTGGAACAGAAATATATTAATACATTAAATATGCCTTTATTTGGTGGTGGAAATGAAATAACGATGGATAATAATAAAAATATAATACATTTAATTGAATCAAATTTGGCTCACTATATACAATTTCAATTACCAACTATAAAATCAATCAATAAAATTGATTATGATTTTTTAATGTCAATTTATAATAATGTGGATGAAGGTGCAAAATTATTATTAAAATTAAAAATATTTAATAAAGATAAACAACGATTACAGAAATCAATTGAAATATTGGCAAATGAAGCAACAGCCGCATTATTTGCTGTCTATATTAAACATTATCGACGTATAGAACTTGCAAAATATGAATGTCAAAAAGATACTAATATTAAACCAAATAGTAAATTAGTTTCACTTTATGAATATGCAACTCATATTCAAACATTATTTGCTACAACAAAAGCACAAGGTGGTGATTGTAATGAATTATATATACAGATTAAAAATAATACATTATTCTTATTATCTTCAATTAAGGAAAATAATTTTATACCGTTAGTATATAATACAAACTTAATAACAAATATAAATGAAAATAAATCATTTTTAGAAACGCCTGTTGTTGGAATATCACCAAGAAATATGATTCAAAGACAATTTTCTAGATGGACAAAAGCAAAACATATACTCCGACTACTTCGTAATACAATGGCAGCTATTATACGATTGAAAAAAATAATGTTACTACATAAACAAGAAGCAGAACAAAAACAAGATAATGAAAGCATATTGAATAGAAATCTTAAAACATTTGTATATGAACAGAAAATTATAGGACAATTAGATGAAAAATTACAAACAGAAGAAATAATAAAATGTATGAAAAAGCAAGATGAACGTGCAATTATAAGACTACTTACATATAAATTTATTCAAACATTTATTAAAAAATTATTTAAAATTGAAAATAATCGAGTCTATATAATTTTATCAATTTATTTACCACATTTAAATAATACAAATTTTGAATGGCATTATTTGCAAAATATTGAAAATTCAAATATATTGTTAAAAGAACAAATTGAAATTCTATATTATTCAATTATTAAGGAAATTATTCAATTTAGATTAACATTATCATCTGAATCAACAATTTCTCGAACATTAATATTGCATTCATTTAGTTTACTTAATATATCATATAAATCGTCTGATCTAGTACAAATCTATAATTCTCGATTAATTAAAGATTTATTTAATTTCATTAGTACAATTAAGAAAAATGACGGTACATGGGAGATTAAGTTTACTTCATTCAATTTGTTTAGAATGATAATATTACAATTATCAGATATTATAGAAACCGAAGAAAAAAATAATGGTATGGTTAATCCCGTATTACAACAATTACATGAATATATCTTTCAAAAATTGATATTAAATGAATTACACGGATTAAAATTGTTAAAACAAACTGCATTAAATACAAATACAAGTAATATTAAATATGAAAATATTCATGTAAATAATGCTGAAATAGGATGGTTTATTGCTAAAAAATCTGCAACTAATCACGATATAATAATAGCGAATCAATCACAAAGTGAAATTGAAATCTATACAAATCAATTTTTAGTATTATTACTCAGATGTATACATTTATATAAAAATGTACTATACAGTTGCTCAACACCAGTTTATATCCAAGAATTACTTTATATTTATAGTACTAGTATGAACAATATTAGTAGTACATTAGTATTGAAACTATTGCGTGAATTACTAAATTTATTACCACAAAATAATCAATTATTATTTACATTAAAATCACATGAAACAGTAAATCGAAAACAATTATTGGAATCATTTTTATTCACTATTGGTGAAAGTTGTTTACAAATATCTGATAGTAGTATCAAAAGTAATCCAGCAACAGTTACTGAAATAATATATATCTATAGAACATTAATGTCTGTACGATCACCATGGCAAATGTTAGCAATACAAATAATCGTAGATGCAATTAAATTAGGTTCATCATTAATTAAATCAATGAAGACAATAGAAGCGAGTAAATTAAATTATTTATTAGCATCGTTATGTGTACTAGGCGGCTATATTCAATCTTATTATGAAGGTTGTATAGTTCATGTATATGAAGATTTGAATACAAATGACTATGAATCTGCAGTTATCGTTAGTACTGATACGAATGTTCGAGACTCCGACACAGCCAATGAATTATCATACTGCATACAATACACAACATCAAACGAAATTAAATGGATTTCCGCAGATAAACTACGTATAGAAACATGTATTCCAGTACCAAATTTATTACCTGTATCAACAATTTTAACAGATGCCGATAGTGTTGTATACGAAGCAGATGCATTTAAAACAGAAGAAACAAATGCATATATATTAATAGATACATTAAGTTTACTTATTCAAATGGACACAATTACAATTGATGATTTAATATTATTACAAACTAGACGTCGTTGCACTGCAGCATTGTCACATATATTAAATGACAAAAAACTGATAGAAGTATTTATAAGTAAACAATATGCACCTATCATTGCACAATTAGCATTATCAGGTAGTCCAAATACTAGTGCTTACAATGTCATGCCCGCAGATTTACGTTTAATGAATAAATCACATTTGGAACAGTATAGTCTGAGTCTAGATACGTGTGTAAGGATGAAACAGATACTTGTTGATGATGAAAAATCATTTGAAACAGATAATAATGAGAATCTTAGTACTCCTGTTATCCCAGTAGATTGGTACAATATACCAGATACATCAGAACTAACGGATGCTAATTTTCGAATTTGGAATAAAAATTTAGATGGTGTTGTTTTCGATCCATTCGTTTATAAAGCTGTATCCACAAATTTAGACAAAAATCGAGGTTGGAATGAAATCAAAATTGTACCATTTCCAGGCGAACAAAATGGAATGATAGAAGAATGCGGAAATAAAGATAAATTTAATGGTCGAGTTACTGGTGTGCTAGATCTTGGTACATTTTTAGCTGAAAATATCCGATTAACTGAAGGTAAATGGTATTATTGTATCAAAGTAGTTTGGTCTAATGTTCTCCAAGTCGGCTGGGCAACTGAAAATTTTACTCCAAGTGCAGAGAATAATAGAGGTGTTGGTGATAACGAGTATTCATGGTCTTATAATGGCTCAGATGGAATTGTGCATCATAATGATGGAGTTCCCTTTGGGGATTCAGTTAGATGGACAATAGATGATGTTTGTGGCTGTGGAATTGAAATTGATGGAGAAAATACAGTAATGAAATTCTGGTTAAATGGCAATTTGCTAGGTACTGCGTTCTCTCATACATCAAACAGAGATTCTGCATTTCCGTGTAACATGTTACCTAATGGAAAAGATACAATATTTTATCCTGCAATAAGTCTTTCTCCCGAAAGTTGCTGCGAGTTTATATTTAGTCCTGAAGACATGGAGAAATGTCCCTTACCAAAGGGTTATATGTCCTTATTAACATCAACGTTAATTCATACAGAGAATACATTAGTTGCGTATCCGTATAGTGCATATCTCGTTGGTGATCAACCTAAAGATTACTTCTACACCGATCGTGAACAATCTGATTTAACACGACAATTTCTACGTGATTTTGTAAATAAACAACATATTCAAACCGCGTTAACATTAGAAGATATTAACAAAGAAAATCTAAAAGTACCGTATACAGGTATTGCTTTTCCCATCGATACCAGTATTGATAATGAAACACTAACTGCATTTACGATTAGTTTTGATTATGAGTATACAGCTGTACCTGAAATAAATGTTGATCAACTTCTTGTTAAATTATTAACGTTAGATACAGAACTATATGCATTACCCATACAATTGAATGAATCGATAGAAGTAAATGAATTTACATATCAAAATAAAAATGTTCATCATGTTGCCATAATATTTCAGTTACAAAAACCAGTAACAATCTATGTAAATAATAAATGTAGTACACTTCACTGTAGTGCATTCGATATTAGCAAAAAAACTTTAAATTTATGTATATTACCTGAATTTTCAGGCGAAATTAAAAATATTGGTATCTGGAGATATGCGTTGTCCGAACAGCATATTAAACGATTATTTATTTACAGTTTATTCTATGTTTTCCTTGATTATCAAAAATTACGGCAGCATAGAAAACAAACTAATACATTTATGTTTAAGCGCCCACAATTTCCACGTGAATTGTTACTATTTACGGAACCATTTGATTCTAATTTGTGGGATAAAAAGAAGAAGAGTATTGATGCAAATGAATTCAAATATTTCAAAATGTTATCTACAGACACTGTTACAAACATAGAGTATGGCATACAATTATTTGGAAATAATAGTTATTTAGTATTAGATAAATCACAAGTTGATGCTCCGGTGGATGTCAATGAAAAAACTGAAACAACATCTGAAGATAGTTCAGCTGGTATATGGACAGAATATACAATTATTATGGATATTAGTATACCTTACTTACCTGTAGGAGCAAAAACTGTACTAGATAATGATATAAAGGACGTATCTACAAACGACACAGCAATAACAAGAAACGTGTTGGTTAGCTCAACTGATTCCAGTAGCAGTGTTCATGTGGCAGACTCGAATGAATCTGAAGCTATTTTAGGCATGTTAACATTACTTCGAATATCAGAACATCATGCAATCTCTATTACAAATAAAGGTCGACTCCGTGTGGGTAATACTGAAAGTGAAACAACATTGAAATTGAATGAATATTTACGTCTAGTTATTTGTAAAAAGGATAACAACATTAAAGTGTATGTAAATGGAAAATTAGAATTAAATGGGCCTATCGATGAAGATACATACGAATTAAAGGAGCCATATATTTATTTATTTAAAGAAACTGATAATTCAAATATTACTGCTACAGATAGAGTTCGAATCGAATGTAAATCAATAACATTTAAGAATAAAAATATTGATCAGTTACCATCTGTATTAGAATCAAGTACATATTCTTTAGAGAAATTTATTGCATTACCATTTACAGCATTAGCAAATAATTTGATATCAATAGGTTATAAAAGACGATGGATAAAAACCATCATGAAACAATACAATGTATACAACGTTCAATTAATTGATACATTAATACGTCAACAAATGCAACAACTACTGGATGCAGATCTACGTAAAGAATGTGAACATAAAGTAGATTTATTGTGTAGATTAAACTCACATCTGGATAGAGAAAAATTAAAAAAATTTACGACATTTTCGAAACTTGATACTGATACCGACATGGTTGTTATATGCGAACAAATTTTAGACCATTGGAATGAATTGCAAGCCGAAAGCACTCCGTTACAGCACAGTACAAATGAACCTATAAATAAATCAGAAATGGATGTAAAATGGTTGATGAATGATGACGATGATACTGATGATACAAACGGATTAAATACAGATAAAGAACCTCTACCGAAATGGTATTCAAAATGTGTTGACAAACTAAATATACAAGATAACATATTTGAATGGATACAAGATAAAACAAAGCAAACTACAGATCCTAATAGCACAACGGATCCAAATTGTAAATTACTAGATTTAAGTAAACCTGAAGAAAATGAACTTACAAATGAAAATGAATTAGACAGTCGACGTAAAAATATACATAAATCTATGCAATATTCACATCGACAAATGACACATAAACAATATGTTGATTCACGTATTGCGTCTGAAATAGGATTAACATCAATCTATGCACGATATACAATATTGAATATGGTTAAAATTTGGCTCAGCAGTAATGATACCAAAAATAGTTTATTTCCATTACAAGGATTTGGTGATTGGCGTTTTATTACTAAATTGTTACGATTCATGGATTATCATTATAATCATACAAGTATTAGCTCTGATGAAACTATAGATCGAATGAAACTTCTAACAAGTTCAATTGTACAAGCTGAAACAAACGAATTATTAAAACAAACAAACAAAATTACATCTGAGCTATTTTCTACAACAGCACCATTATTATATCATTTACAAATTGATATTATTGTACAATGTATTCGATTAATATCACATCCAACATTATTGCAAACTACAGATGAAAGTTTAAATGAACAAACTGCAATAACACAACCGAATTTAAATTTTATATTTCGAATATTGAAATTATCTCTTGAATTAATTAGTAATGCAAAAATAGAGCATGCACAAATTTTAGTTGAAATTCTATTTCCAGACTCATTAATTCATTTATTGTTTGATCTATTTCTATTAGTTCCTCAAGAACAATCAAGGATATTTATTCTGCATATATTTGCCGTGTTAACTCAAACTGCTACTAATTTCGCCTTACATAAAGATGCTCAACAATTCTTATTACAACTTCTTGAATTTATAACAAATAAGCGTTCAAATGGTAATGCTTCGTCTAGCAGTTTGCGATCTGCTGTAATGGACTTGTGTTTTGTAATACGTACAAGAGAACAACAAGACGCGTCAAATAAAGTAATAAATCAACAATTAGAATTGGACAAATATTTGAACTATGCTGAATCTTTACGTGACTTATTCATAGTAATGGATGTTATAAAAGCATTAACAGATGAAACAAAACAAACAGTATTTCCTCAAGAATTTATTAAACAGTTAAATTCTTCCGGAATTGAATGTATAAAAGAAGAAATTGAAAAAGCAAATATATTTTTTAATAGAGCAGTAGATATACAATTAATTGATTTTATGAATAAAAATATTGTTTCTGATTGTCAATCATTAACAGATTCATTTATTGTTGAATTTCTTGTCGGATTATCTAATGAATTTATAACTGATACAAAATATAGTACATACACGTTATTACATCATATACCGGTAGTTTATCTAAAAATGCGTATAAAAATATTATATTTATTCAATATATTCATCAAAAACGTTTTAAGTGATGTTGATTTAAGTTTGCCAACTGGTACGAGTATGCTTGCTGATGCTGTTCGTTCAATTAAATCATATATAGTATATAACACTAAAGTTAAATTGATTATTACGGTTCTGGAGGAAACATATCGTACCGATGAGACACAAACTATTCAACTAGACTCAGTGAAAGCAAGTACCTGTTCTACATACAAAGATACAATATTTTATCAAGCTTTTAGACAGTTGTATAAAAACGCATCTTTATCATTTCGAAAATTAGAACATGCTCGAGTATGGGCTGTAACATACATTGGAATGCATAGTTCTGATTCTGGTGGTCCATATAGAGATTCGATTACTGCTATGTGTGCAGATATATGTAGTACGAGGTTACCACTGTTTATTCTATGTCCAAATGGACGAACAAATAGTGGATTGAATCGAGATCGATGGATTCCAAATGTGTTTCCACCACAGACAACAATTCCAAATAAAATAAAAAATATCTATATATTTATTGGTCAACTTATGGGTATGGCTATACGAACTAAAAATTTATTAAATTTACAATTTCCATCATTAGTATGGAAACCATTAGTGCGTCAATCAATTACTGTTGAAGATATTGAAGCTATTGATATACAGAGTTTCGCAACCATAAATGAATTAGAAAAAAGAGTGAAACAAACTAAAACTATGAACACTAGTGTTACTGTTGATAGCGAAGAAAAATATACGGATAATATTGATTTTTTGTTTGATAGTATTATGAGTGAATTAAAATTTGATATTGTTGGTTCAAATATGAAAACATACGAATTAGTACCCAAAGGTTCAATTATTCCAATAACTGTGGCCAATCACAAAGAATATTGTTTGAAATATCGTGAATACCATTTACAGGAGTTTAGTAGACAAGTCGATTATATCCGACAAGGTCTATATAGCGTAGTTCCATGGCCAATGTTAGCATTATATACTCCTTTTGAACTAGAAGAAGCTGTTTGTGGTAAACCCGTAATTGATATTGATTTATTAAAACAACAAACAGAATATAAATACGAAAATGATCATCATAATGCACCATATATAAAACGATTTTGGACTGTATTAAAAGATAAATTTGATGAAGAACAAAAAAGATTATTCTTAATTTTTGTTTGGGGAAGGAGTACATTACCTAGCCGAGCAGAAGATTTCGAACGCAAATTCTCGATTCAGCGATTAGACGCAGCTAATGATGTGGATAAAATGTTACCAAGTACGTATGATAGTTAATTTGAGGGTTTTCTACTTGCAACAAATTTCGGACAGTTTTAACAAAATGTGACATAATATATTCATTGTTCTTATCATACTCTACACAGCGACGTACACCCTACTAACCTTTAGTTTAAATCGTAAAGAAAAATTAGCAGAGCTGGAGAGCCGTGATCATCGGATAAATGTCTGACGCAGCGAATTCATACGGTGTTTCCACCTGTTTTCGAGCGGTCGTTTTCGAACTATTACTGATACAATACATGAAATGGATTCAAAATATTGTTAACCAGATGTCATCCATTTCATGAACACACATAGTACACGTAGACGGGAGAAAGGATAAGGTTTATATTCCCCTTCCGTTCACGAAGAAAAAGAAATAGTTATCGTTCTTTCGAAAAAATTGTTACAAAAAGCAAAAGTTTTTAATCTTTGACCGTGTCTCCCGTTTGAATGCGGGTATCAGCATTATTAGAAATTTTATTTGTTCTTTTTTGAAAACGGACAAAATGGAAAGAATTAGCTGAATCATGATGTTAGGCATTGGCACTTTAAACAAGAGCCTTGGTATAAAATACATATGTATATTTTTGTAGAGTGGAAAAGGCGCTGTTAACTGGCGATAAAAGAATTAAAAGGATACCGTTGTTGTTTGAGAAAAAAATATTTTTCGAGCAAAATTTCGAATTTTCATTTTTCATACGTTTCACTAAAACTTCTATAGCAGGTCAAAGAAATGCAGTACCACCGCCAA